GAAACTGAAAGTGTAAGTGTGGAATGAAGAGTAAACACGAACAAACATATTTGAATAAAAGAATCTGCATAAAAATATGGACAGGCAATTTATAGTACCTTAAATTTTAAAACTCAGTGGATGAGATGTGGTTTATTAGGAATTTACTGTCAGAGAAAGAACCAAATAAAGTATCCAGAAAATAGCACAGGGTGTGAAAGGAATGGAAAATACGTAATTGAGTTTAAGAATAATAGACAAAGAACTGTTGAGAGAGCAAGAGATGACAGACCACCTGGAAAGAATACCTGAGAAATTTCTAGACCTAGATAATTTGTAACCCACAGAGTTTGAAAGTAAAATAAAGCCCTAAATTATTTAATTAATTAGTTAATTAATTACATTTAAATAAATGGCATCTAAATAAATTTAGTTGTTGCTTCAAAAAAGTAAAAGTATAGAGAAAATTTAATACTTGATAGTTTGAAAATACAAATCAAAAAGGAATTTCAATTAAACATCTGAGTTCTAAATGGCAACTCTGATATTTGGACAAGAATTGAATATTATTACCAAACTTCTGAAAAGATATTATTCTCTATTGAGAACTATATTTTTAAAACATAATAACACAATTTTTAGAAGTATGTTAAAAGAAATAGGGAGCAAAGGTAGACTTGCCGAAGTTAAAATTTACATTAAATTTAAGTTAAAAGTTAAATTCAAGTTTAAATTTAAATTAAATTTCACATTAATATTTGGGGTAAATAGTAAAAGAAGAATTATAGATTTCAAATTTTCAAATCAATTAAAAAGAAAGCAAAAGAAGCCCTCAATCAAATCATGTGTGTTTGCTTATATAAGTCATTAATTTTTTCTTTTGATGATTTGTTCACTTTTCAATGCGAAGCTCAAAGTACAGCATATCCTCCTACACTGTAATGTAATTTATATTAAACCATTTAGACAGTTTTGTGTTGTTAACTTTGAAGTAAAGTTTGGGATTATAGGGCTTTTTCTTAAGGATTGAGTTTTTTTTAAAGATTGAGAAATTTTATTTTGTTAATAAGAGTTTTTGTTCATCAAAAGACACCATAAAGAAATTAAAAGCCATATGCCAGAGGCAGGTATATGTTACAAATATTATCAGAAGAAAAATATGTAGGATTCTGGAAAACCAATGAGTAAATAACAAGCACTGAAACAGGAATAAAATGGGTAACATACATGAACAAGTCTTTTACAGAGGATTAATAAATGGCTAATAAAATGTGAAATGATTCTCAATTACATTAATATTCAAGAAAGTGGAAATTAAGAGCACATAAGATACTTTAAACTCACTGACTGACAAAACTTTAAAAGTTGGTCAATACTATTATGAGCAATGGGAGTTCTCAAATATTTGGCAGTGGTTGTGAAAATTAGTGCAGTCACTTTGAAAACAGTAAAAGTGAAGATTGGCAATTTTACTACAAGACATATAATCTAGACTTTAGAGCCTAGAGAAATCTCTGTAAGGGCCTCAGATAAAAGGTACAAGAATATCGAGAGAAAAAATATTTATAATAACAAAATAACAACAGGAAAAACTAGAAACCAAATATTAATCAAGAAAAAATTGTGGATAAATTGTGGCATGTGCTCACAGACAAATACTGTACAGCATTGAAAATTAAGGAACTACACTAAACTGATCACAAAATCATAATATTGTGTGAAAAATATCAAGTGGCAGAGATCATGAAAAATTGACACCATTTATAAAAAGGTTCCTATGGTTTAAGAATTTAGAGATTTTTTTTTAGAACTGTAAAGAAAGTAAGGAAATAATTACAAAATTCATGAAGGTGAGTACCCCTGGTTACAATGGGATGGGGGCAAATTGTAAATGGATTAGAAAAAAGACAAGAGAATCTTATTATTATTATCACTGGTGTTTTAGATCTCAAATTCTATTTCTCAAATTCTCATTGGCAGTCATTTTGTTATTATGCTCCAAAACTTATATAAATGCCATATATATTTATTACTTAAAAAAAAAAGTTAGGTTTGGGCACCTGGGTGGCTCAGTTGGTTAAGCGACTGCCTTCGGCTCAGGTCATGATCCTGGAGTCCTGGGATCGAGTCCCGCATCAGGCTCCCTGCTCGGCAGGGAGTCTGCTTCTCCCTCTGACCCTCCTCCCTCTCATGCTCTCTGTCTCTCATTCTCTGTGTCTCAAATAAATAAATAAAATCTTTAAAAAAAAAAAAGTTAGGCTCTCAGAAAAGTTGCAAAAACTCTACAATATTCTTGAATGCCATCTCTGCAGGCTCCCCGAATGTTCACATCTTGCATAACTGTAATTCAGTGATCAAAGCTAAGAAATTAAAATGACACACTACTATTGCATAAATACAGACTTTATTTGTGTGACAGGCAGAATTCTAAATGTGACTCCTCCAAATAATCCCATCTCCTGAGGATATAATCAAACACTAATCTAGGTATTATTGTGAAGGATTTTGCAGATACAATTAAAGTCCAAGGCAGCTGAGAAACAGAAATTACCTGACTCAATCAGATAGCCCTTAAAAGTAGAGAGACTTATTCAGCTGGTAGTACAAGGCAGAGAAAGAAAAGTGAGACGATTTTGAAATGTGAGGACTACACTACATGGCATCTTTGAAGATGCATCAGCAGATGAGGGGGCACATGAAATGGAGCGCAGACCGGGGGCTGAGGATGGCCCCTGGCTGACAGCCACAAGAGGATTATACTTTTAAACTCATTTGGTTATTGCATTAAAACCTAACACCTTAGAAATATAAGGAGAGCCTTACAGTTAAAGAATAGATAGAACTGATTGGATGTGCTATAAAGGGATATAGCTTAAGAAAGTGTCTGCTAAGGCTTTTAGAACGTTTCCTTATTTGGGTAGAATTACCAAACATATTTACCAAATTATATTATTTATATTTTCATAGTATAAACACACTCACATATATGAATATGTTTAACCAATTAGTGGAAGATTCTTTTAAAGATTTTATTTATTTATTTATTTATTTATTTATTTATTTAGACAGACAGACAGACAGACAGAGCTCGGGCAGGGCGAGGGGCTGAGGGAGAGGGAAGATTCTTTTAAAGAACTACCTAGTAAGGAAAAGGAAGGTACACAAGTTTCTATTTGATGACATTTAAGACAAAAACCAGCCCTGATCCAGGTCAGAATGGGAATAATTATTTTGCACAGGTGTTGTCCATTGGAACCAACACCCTAGAGCAAAAGTAGAGACAGGCTGTTGACAATTAACACCACTTGTCTGAAGTTACTATTTTAATGAATTATTACAAGTAAAGAAATATAATATTTGGAATTACAGATATTGTCTCACAGCATTTGACTTAGGCTTTAAATCTTATGGAAAGTACTAATTTCACTTTAAAAATAGAGCACTGAAAGACAAGCATCAACAAAATAAAATGTAACCAATTAATTCTTCAGTTTTTCAGCTCATCCCACACAAAAAGAATGAAGCTTGACTTTGATGTCTAGATTATCCTGGAGAATTAATTCAAGTTTTTCTGTTTAGCATTCTCTCAACTCAAAATGTTTTCACCCTAGAATACAGTCAGTCTATCACCACTGATGCAGTCATGAAAACAACTTTGAAATCTCAGATTCTTAGGAAGAGATTTTTTTTGTCCAACCCAGATAGATTTCTTATAACTTCAATTGATAATGTTGTGTGGAGAATTCTAACAGCCTTTCATTAGTGACATTATCCTATCACCTTGGTGGTGGTGAAGTTAACTGGTCATTATACTTAGGTAACTTTCAGCAGTAAATTATTTACATGCAAGGTAATGCCTGGTTCTTGCATTAAATCTGACAAGTCAAGGTTTTAATTTGGGGGGTTCTTAATCTGAGCACATCTCCTGGAATCAGATGTTAACACTTCCTAAAAAAGCTTAGTTAACCTTACAAAGAGAAAACATAAACCTTTCTTACATATGGTATTTATAGATTATACTTCTTTTTATGGTTGTAACCAGTGCTGATAATTAAGCCATGAGTTTAATTAGTGAAAATTTAACTAGCTTGTGTAAATAAATGAGACATAACTTGTCTTTAACTGAGACAGATACTCACCAATTATGTCTAGTAGGAAATAAATGCATAATATCCACTTTAAATTAATATCCAACAAAACATCCAATGGTTTTCAGTATAGTTATTTCAAAAGTCTAAATATAATGTTTTGTTTTATAGGAAGTAGTTGAGGAACCTCATGATAAATCACTTGTATTACTTTTTTTCCTCCAAGTTCTTTCTACCTGTTTGTCACTACTAGCATTACTAGTTGCTTTACAAATAGTGAGTATTTTAGAAGATTTGGAGTTGTTTGATTTGTTCTGTTTTATGTAATCATGACTGAAATTACTTTGGTTTAACAATGTTGGGACTAATTAAGGTTCAGAAAGATGGGAAAGATGCCCAGGGGAAAGGAAAGTGCTGGGCAGCACTGAGTTTTAGATGACCTCAAATGTGAAAACTTCATTGTCTCTTATGCCGAGGAATTATTTCTTTTAAAAAACATGAAATATTGGTGAGTCCACATTTTTAAACATGACCTTGAACCTCTTTGAGATACATTGTCTGTTTTCAGTGTTATGGATTCTTAACGGCACATCAATTGAGCTCGCAAAACTCTCTCCTCACATCTGAGGGATTCTCCTAGCTGTTTCTGACATGAGACTGTTCCACAGGCAGTAATCTGAATGGTCAGTCTTCTGCAAAGGGCTGGAAAATATCTAAGAACACGTTAGCATCCTGGCAAACTCTCTGTTAGTTTAGCTGCCTGACACGGCTTTAAATTGAGCTCTCTTTTTATGGTATCCAGATGGGATTTGGCAGCTAACAATCCCAAGAGCCTTTTCAATGTTCAGGGTTGGCCACATGCCTGACAGCTACTTGAAGGACAAGAAGCCCCTCCTCTTTGGAGACTCCTAGAGAGTCTGCCCAGGTACTTACCACTTGTCAACCAGCTGGCTCTGACTCTCGCTGTCAAGCTGGAGGCCACTTCTGATCTCAGGTTGTCATTCTGAACACACAACACAAATAAAACAAGGAAAAGCATAATTTATGTAATGCTACTCAAAAAGTAATTATGGACAGCACCAAGAGTGAAACATCATGTAAACTATGGACTTTGCATGATCATGGCATGTCATTGTAGGTTCATCAATTTTAACAAATGTACCACTCTGTTGGTGGTTGATAATGGTGTGATAATCTTATGTGTGGATAATCATGTGTGTGTGATGGAGCAGGGGGAGGGGTATATGGGAAATCTCCACACTTCTCCTCAATTTTGTGTGAACCTAAAACTTCTCCAAAACCATAAAATCTTTGCTTTCAAAACTGGGCTATTTTAAAAAAAGGAATCATAGTAACTTGGACTACATCCTGGACTACGAACATTCTATCTCTAAGGTTACTGGAACATTTTTAAGAAAGATGTTTCCTTCCAATCTCGTCTACTTTTTTTTTTTCACTGTCCATCTGGAATATCAGGCAAAGGGTTCCCAGGGTCTGGTGTAAGCAATCCTTAGCTTCTGAGTCTTAGCTGCCATACTAGAAGTAGAATAGGGAATTCACTATTCCACAATGCTGGCTGGACTGAGAGGGAGCCTTAATTGCTATAGAATTTGGGGAGAACCTGTCAGACAGCAATTTATAAAGACATCTCTAAAGTGAGTCAATAAGGTACAGATTTTATTTCAGATAGCAAGTACTACTAAATTGCACAATGTCATGAATCACTTGATGAGTTACTAATGTCCACAATTTATCCATATGTACGGGGGGAAAAATGTACATGATAGCTTTGTCAGGTTAGCCGGAGAAGTTTAAACCTTTAAAAAGGACTAGAATGGGTTTTTTGAAAGACACAGAAATGTGTGTGTGTGTGTGTGTGTATTCTATATAGATCACTTAGTTAAATAAAGTGCTCTTTATCTTTTTTTAATTAGAAGAGTGAAAGCAATTGACAACTAGAATGTCTGCTAGATTTGACAGATTTGGCAGCCACCCATGTTTGGGAAGGTAAGTCATAACTTAAGATATTTTCCTAAAAATACTCAAAAATAAAAATTAGCATAAGAACATTTGATATGAGATGATACTGTTGAAAGAAATATGTTAAAGCAATTATCGGACTCTGAACGCAGAGCATTACAAATTATCTTTAATTCAATTTATCCTTCTCATAAATTAAAGCTAATGTGGCAAATATATCCTGAAGAAACTTTAAAGATTATAATAGTCTGCTAAGTAAAGATTAGAAGTCTCTGTTAAGTATTTTAAAAAATTCTCTTTAGTCATATGTAAAACTCATACCATCATTTTCAATAAATAAGAACTGCAGTAAGATCCACTGTTTCTGGTAAAAGGTGGCAACAAAGTTTCCCATCTGGGAGTAAAGGTATGAAATCTTCTTGGGCACGGTATCCTGAGCTAATGTAGAGCAAAAGTCCGCCACTACTGAAGGAGTGGCAGGAAACTCTCTCTGTCTTACTAAAGAGCTCTTATAAGTACAAGACATAATCTATATGCCATAGGGGGGGATTGGGAAGGGAATGCTGAGAAAACCCCACTCTTGGAGACCCAAGTACAAAGTTCCATGGGTCCACACAGTAGAACTCAATCCCACATCACCACTCAATGATAATTCCAGAGTGCAATCAAGAGCAGCCTCTTGCTGGGGAAACAGCAAGAACGTGGACAAGATCTCCACTTTGGAACAAGTGTTCATGGACTAATGAACATTGGAGAAGAAGCAGAGACTCAGGAAAAAAAAAAAAAATCTAAGCATCTCAGACATTATAGGGACCCCAAGGAAATAGCAGCCCATCCCAGAGGGAATTTGAAACCTGTGTAGTCACTGTAGGTGACTGTGACAAAAACAAAATCCACACTCAGCTCAATTACTGACAAGATTGACTCAAGTCCTCATACTAATTGTTTGACAGATGAAAAGGTGGGCCCATTTCTGGGTGTACTTGTCATTTCCCTCAGTAGTCTACAAATAGTGTCTAGCTTTCAATCAAAAATCATAGAACATGCAAAAAAGCAAGACATAAAACAACCTGTTTCCAAAAGCTAAAGTGAACAGCATAACCAGACCCAGAAATATAACTATCAGTTAGGAACATTGAAATATCTGTGATTTATATATACATTCAATATTTGTATATTTCACTGTATGTAATTTTTGCATAAAATCTATACTCATATACGGAGATCTAGTTAGTAATATGCATATGAAAGTATTCAGAATATTCAGGGTATCAAAGTGTTTATTGATGTTTGCAATATACTTTGAAATTCATTCAAAAATAGAATATGTTAGTGGATAGAGCGATTGATAAATTGAGTGTCTTAAAAAATAATTTACTAAATGTTACTTGTAGAATCTAGTGGCATATAAATTCTTTAATTTTTTAATTTGAAAAATGTTTATAATATTGGATAACATGAATTAGATGACACATACTAAAAAAATCCATATTGGCCAACATACAAAAAAATAAACTCAAAATTTACTAAAGGATGAAAGGCAGGAGAGTAAACTTTAAAACTATAGGAGAAAATAAGAAAATGTCCTTATAAACTCAAAAACACAAAGGATTTGTTAAACAAGGCAAAACCTAGACTGGAAACTATAATAAAGGAGATATTAATAGAATATTAAGTTATAGAAACATATAGATTACCCCATAACCTATATTTACATAAAATGCCATAATAAAGTACACTGCATTGTCAAAAAAAAGTGAAATATGAATGAAAAAAATTAATGAAGCTTAAATTTTACGCCCCTTTGTAATTTCTAAATTACACAAATTATTAATTTTATAATTTCAGAAAACATCATTACAAAAAGACATAACTGTCTAGAATAGATTCCTGTCATTAAAGTGACTTAATTTCTTATCAAATAACCATCTAGAATTCAGTTGTGTACAAAATCTGTATTAATCTCTGACATATGCAGGGAGATATTGTAAAGGATATGAGAAACTTAGAGGTACTTCATACCATCTCAAAATCTATGTAAACAGATACTGCTAAGATACTCTTTCCTACATACACAATTTTCTTTCATTTTGTCTTGTTATAACTGTCTATTCTTAGTTACATTGTACCTGCATCTTGTTAACAGAACAGTTGTAATAAAAGCACAGAACAATACATGCCTTTTTTTTTATCATACAGGAAAGTTCTATTTATTCTAAGAACTCGGGAAAACATAGGCAAATTGTCCCCTTGTTCTATCCAATAATAAACATCTCCATTTAGACTGAAATAAATGTAATTAAAGAAATTATTTTTGGTTACATGCTTCAAAGAAACTCCTAATGTAGAATGTTGTTTTAAAAGAAAATTGTTTTCAGACTACAATTAATTTTAATTATAATTATCTATAGCTGAAGCACTGTGCTAGAGATTTAAAGACAATACACGCCCAAACCACTACAGCTGTTTCTTCAAATAAACACAGTAATACAAATTATTATGGAAGTGCCCTACTCCATTTAGCAATCCAAGAAAGATACACGCTGGCCAGAGTATATCTCAAATCTTATTGTCTATATTCATATTGGTCCATAAAACAAATTTTAAAAACACAGAAAATATATCCAGAGTATACATATGAGATTGAAAGTGGTGAAGGACTTTCCTGAAAAAGGTCAGATCACCAACATTGATTTGAATGATCAAATTAGGTAGGATAAGCTGACTACCATTTTATGGTTTTAAAAAACTATTCCAGTATAGGGCGCCTGGGTTAAGTTGGTTAAGCTACTGCCTTTGGCTCGGGTCATGATCCCAGAGCCCTGGGATTGAGTCCCACATCGGGGTCCCTGCTCGGCGGGGAGTCTGCTTCTCCCTCTGACCCTACCCCGTCTTGTGCTCTCTCTCTCTCTCAAATAAATAAATAAAATAAAATCTTTTAAAAAAATTATCCCAGTATAGGAAAGCTGATATAATAAACTTTTAAAAATAGTAAATAATTCCCCAAAAAGTCAGTTTACTGTATTTAGATTTAGAGAATTTAGAGAATTTGCTTTTTTATTCAATCTTTGATCCGATCAAATATTGTGGATCTCTGAAGATCCCAGAATGAATTTAAAGGAATTACGTAAAAGTTACTCTTACCTTGGCACTGGTTCAAGAAAATCACTGCATGATTCTTTTTTTTTTTTTTTTTTTTTTTTTTTTTTTTTTTTAAGATTTTATTTATTTATTTGAGAGAGAGAATGAGAGAGAGCACATGAGAGGGGGGAGGGTCAGAGGGAGAAGCAGACCCCCCGCTGAGCAGGGAGCCCGATGCGGGACTCGATCCCGGGACTCCAGGATCATGACCTGAGCCGAAGGCAGTCGCTTAACCAACTGAGCCACCCAGGCGCCCCACTGCATGATTCTTAATTCACTTTTACTATAGACTTAGAAGGAGATAGAATATGGGCTTTAAAAAAAAAAAAACCAACAACACCAACAACTCTCAAACCAACAATATGAGCTACAAGAGATAAGAATGTTTTAATTAAAACCAAAAGGATACAAAGAATGGGGGCGGGGTGGGGTGGAGAGCAAGTTGTGTTATTTAGAGGTTCTGCACATCTCCACTAATGAAACACAAGATGCTCTAAGGGTTACTTTTGTTAATCACAAATGAGGTGAACAATGAGTCCTGATTCAGGTTTTATTTACTTCTCTCTCTCTCTCTTTCATGGGAGTGCCTTCCTTAACTAAGGGGAATAAAACTGACTTTAATAAAAAATAGCAAAAGGCTATATCATTAGAGATATTGTGTATTCAACAAACACCCACTTTCTTTTTAAAGTTGCAGTAAAATAAAAAAAACCTTGCTGATTTCAGCCTGGGTCTCTGTCCAAGCTGTCTGCAACTCTGTGTCTAGTGTGCATCCACCAGGGAAACACAGACTTTGCTTCTGGCATTTCAGACAACAAAGAAAATACAAAATCCAATAGAAGCCTCTCCACAGTGTAATCAATCTTCATTCTCTCTTCACAT